TTCTTTAAATTTCAAATATCAAATTTATGATATATAAGTTCTGGTTATTGCCGAAACTAACTGGCGAGCATTTCAGGGAATTCAGGTAGTATAAAGCGAAACTCAACTAAGAGCCAAATTTACATTTTTCTAGGTATGGTATATATAAGCTTACTAATGTCCTAAGAATTGGAAAGAAGTATTTAACAGACATTTTTATAATATTCTGTAACACTTTCACTTGACTAGACAATACATATTGCGGTCGGTTATGTATCGACCACATCAGATTTTTTTTTATACTCTGCACTTCGTGAAGGGCATATTCACTTTGGTATGGAGTTTGTAACCACTTGAAAGAGTCATCTCTGGTATGGACCTACACATATATTCTTGCTCAGTGTAAAATTCTGCCTTGATTTAGACATGTCCGTCCGTTGGTCCGTCCGATCGCACGATAACTCAAAAACAAATAAAGCAATCGGCACCAAACTTTCACAAGTTGTTTCTTCTGCGCAAATGACGGCTGCTTTTGTAATTGAGCCAATATGGAAAACGGGTTCGGGTAGCTGCCATACAACTTAAAGAGTTTTTTTTAATATTTCCAAAACTAATTAAGATAACGTTATCAAATTTTGCAAATATGTGTCCAATTACACTCTACATGTTCTGAAAGTTTTCATGAAATGGCTGCACAGGTTCGAGTAGCTGCCATACCACTCCAAAAGCTAATTTTAAATGTTTAAAAAAATAATAAAACCAGATTCATCAAATTTGGGAGTCGTGTGTCCAATTACAGGTCACATATATCCCTGAAGCTTTGGTGATATGACTTGACAGGTTCGGGTAGCTGCCATACAACTCCAAAAGCTTATTTTAAATGTTTTGAAAAATAATAAAGTTAGACTCATGAAACTTGGCAGTCGTTTGTCAAATTATAGGTCACATATATCCAAAAAATAATTTTAAATATTCGGAAAAATAATAAAGCTAGATTCACGAAACTCGGCAGTCATATGTCTAATTGGTCACGTGTATTCCTGAAGTTTTATTGGAATGACCTGAGAGATTTGAAAAAATAATAGAGTTAGATTCATGAAACTTGGGCAGTTGTGTGTCCAATTATAGGTCAGATAAATCCATGCAGTTTCTATAGAGTGGTTTGTCAGGTTCGAATACTTGGTATATAACAATGAGAGCTACTTCTAGATATTTCAAAGACAAATTTTAAACTCAGATTTCTAACGTGCATAATTCAGACGGTTTATACCGACTTAAACGTTTTTACTTGTTTATTGTTTTCTCTTACTTAATTTACTAAATGTTTATGAGAATGTTTCAAAATTTTAAGTTCACCTATTCTGCAGACGAATTGAATGATAATTACTATACATATTGTAGTACTTATATATAAATATAAGTGCATATAATTAACGCGCAACCATTTTGGCTATTAAAGTTCTTAGATTAAAACAACAATAAAAAAGTAACAAAAATATTTCACTCTATTCTTTAAGCGTATTAACTTCTCTACTTTAATTTAGTTAGCAGAAAACCATTATGTATATTATAAGTACATTATAACAATCAATAATAATATTAAGGATTATAAATTATACCATATCCATATATAATGATTCATGTTGCGTAGCAAAGTAGGCTAAGACTAATGCCGTATATATCTATCAGGCCTCCAAGCTGAAAATATTTTCCGAAATCTTCAATCAGAAAAAAATACAAATCAATTCTTAATGTTTTATGTTTTCGAAGTATGCCAAATGAAATATTTTTTTATTTTTTTTGTGAAATTTTTGAGAATTCTTTATGAATCTCATCTTATTTTGTATAGTTTAAAAAGCCTTCTAGATTGTAATTATTTTTTTTTCTTCAATTTATTTTTAAATTCTATTTTTTATTCAAAAATATTACTCTGTAATTCAATACCCTTCTATTTGGAAGACAAGAAAGGTTGTTTTTTTTTTAAATGCATAATTTTTTTAAATGGCTAAAAGTTGTTTTTTTTTTAAATGCATTTTTCAGATTAAATTTACCAATGCATTTTTTTGAGATTTAAATTTTAAATGTAAAAAAAATGTGGAATCATTAGAGCCAAAAATATTGATCAATTTCCTTAACACAAATAAATACGGACGCACCTTCCATTTAAACTCCATGTAAATTTGGAATTTATTTTTGATTTGCTCTCTGAGCTTGATGGCCTGTAGATATGTATATATGGCATTACTAAGACTTATTCAACTTAAGAGAATATGAAAATAAAGCAAAAATTAATATGTCGTCCCGAAAATCGGTACACATTTTATACGATACGAATACGATATGTAATACATATATACAGATTTGGGAATATGTATACATATATTTTTTTCGTTTTCTTTTTTGCTTTTTCTGGATGTTGTTTTTTTTTCATTTTTTTGTGTATTATTTCTTCTGCAAGCGTTGTAAATATTACTTAGTCTAATATTAATAAGATAATTTTTATGTACATGTTATTATGTAAGAAAATAAACAAAAATTTATTTAATTTTTGAATACTTTTGCAATTAGATTTTAAAAAGTAAAAGTTTAGTTTAAGTATCGAGTTAAGTAATAAATTAATAAAAAGAAATTAAATAGTTTTTACTCGTTTTTTTTATTTTTTTTCTTATAAATAAAAAGTACATATAAAATAACGTACAAAACTAGCACAGTCGGTACGACTGTACCGATCGCCAACTAACTCCAAAAGCGAAAAAGTTTTAAAAATAATTTAAAGCAAATAAAAAGAGGGCAAAAACTAATTTAATTTTAACTTTTATGAAAAAATGCAATAGTTTTAATAAGTTGCAAAATAAAAATTTTTTGCAAGACATAAAAAACTATTTCTTAACTATTGTGAAAAAGTGCAATATGTTAGATCTTTATAAAATAAGCCAAATTTTTAAAAAATTAGTGGTGATCAATAAAACCTTAGAAAAAAAACCGATTATATTTGAGCTTCTATAAAACCATATAAAAAACAAATTTCTGAAAGGGATAAAAGACTTAAACAAGAAAGATATTGAAAATTTAAAAGATATAAAATTAAAAATGGCAGCAAATTTTGAGCATGTAACAATTCGTGATTTATTGACTTAAGCTAGATCAGTTGCATCATTTAAAGGTAATGGAACCATTGATTTTTATCATTTATCAACGAAGTAAATATTCCTACAATAATTGGATTGACAGCTGACCCAGAAATGCTATCTGATTATTGAATATCTAACTATCAAAACTACAACGACCAGCGGCAGTCATTATAAGACGTTTAGAAGATGCCACTTGGGATGTTATTAAGCAGCGGCTTAAATAGTCATCCGGGATTCAAGAATCCTTAATCCTATCTTAAGTTAATGGAACAATTGGATGCAGTAAAATTCCTCAACGCTAGTGAATTTTATAATGATTTATAAAAAATTCTTGAAAAACTTAATCTTAAATATAAGTTAGATCCAAGTAGTCCCATAGAATTTAGTTCCAAAAATAACGAAAAAAGCTTATTAGAAAAATTTCTAAATAAATTACATATGTATCTGAGAATTAGAGATGTTAAATCCTTAGACGAAGCCTATCGCGAGCTTTCAGAAATTAGTGTTTTCAATAATACAAATAATAGTAATAATAAAAATTCAAATTCTTTTACAACATAATTTTAACAACAATCTTTTTAACTTTCGAAATTATCATAATAATTTTTTTTCCAATTATAATAACTTTCATAGTAATAGTGGTCGTTATAATAATAACCCAAGTAGACAATTAAATGATCATTACCAGGATAGTAGCAATAATCAAAATGAAAGTTTTAATAACATTTAAAATAGTAACAACCAACGTCCAGAACCAATGAATGTAGATATTAATTATTTTGAAAAAAGTAAATATTAATAACAAGTTCTTCAGAAAATACGAAAGAATTGTTAGAACAAGTAGAAAAATTTGGAAGCATAATATTATGCTACAAAACGAGATAGGACAAAAAATTAATTATACAGGGTAATCTTTTATCTCTCATAGTTTTTCCAGTAAAACGTGTTAAACGTTTTAAATTTAAAGTCTGGTACCTTTTTTTTCAACAGGCTGTAACTCGAGTATATCCACACCCCCCTCCCCCATCACCGAACAAATTTTTTGCTGGAACTTGATCAAAGAATCATCCCTGAATTTATTTGCCACCTCATGCGAAACACCCTGTATATAGTATAGCTACTGCTGAAAGTATGGTTACATCTAGAAAAAGTACAGTTACGCTTGCGACAAAAGACATTAGATAGGGTTTATGAGAAGAGTCCCAAGAAAATCTGACATTGAAGCTTTTAAGCATCGAAATAGCCGTATTTTAAGATTTTCTGTGAACATTTTTGTGTAAAAGAAACTATTAAAAACGCAAACCAAAAATTAAAAAATATTTAAAAATATAATGATATTACATATTTTTGGGATGAAACTACAATAGGCTTAGATAAAATAGTGTCAATTTTTTTTCACACACATCGGATGTTTTGTGACACCTGGATGTTAATGTTTCATTTGTTATTGAAAGCTTATCTTAAGATTTTCTGTAAAAATTTCAGTAACACTTTTAACACGCCTTTACTTTGTTACACAATTTTTTTTTTTAAATATTATTGTATTTTTTACAATATCAGAAAAACAAACCAATATTCGTAAAAAACTTATAAGATCAAAGAAAAATTTTTTACTGAAGCACCCTGCATTTAATTATAGGTTTATAAAGTTATGCAACATTTATTTGCTTTGTAATAAGTATACTAATAAGAAATAAGTATACTAATTTGGGTGTCAACAAGAATGTTAAAGTAATGATTGGCTTGATTACCCAGAAACTTTTAATATATTTAAACATTGATGGTATGGCTGACAATAAGTTAATTTTACCATTTCATTTTAAATTGGCAATTTCATTATGCAGAAAATTAAATGCAATAACCGATCCATTAATTAAAAATAATACTCACTCGTTAGTTCTTGGAACCTTTTCCAAAACAAATAATGATCTGGTACGTGTAGCTAGCATATTGTTCTCACAAAATAAATTTCCGCACAAGGACAACAAAACTAGACGTCTTGGTAAGTATTTCGCAGACTCCCACATACATCTTCGATATGTTCCTGAAATTTGGTTCAAATTTATTAAATTAACCATTAGGTGTAATCAACTCACATACTTAAAACTGTATCATCACTTAAATGATCGGAACGTATAGAATGACTCGTTGACAAGTAAGGAATTACTGATATTGCAAAAATTACGAAAAATTTTTTGGCCATAATAAAAATGTTTCGGTAAAATTAAAAAGTTCCGCTTTGATAATATTTTTGTTATATATTAGATATTCAGCAATACACTAAAGTTACTTTACAATTTATTTGATTTTGTTAATAAAAATATACATTTTTATATAAAATAGAAATTATCGTAAAAATTTTATATATACATTATGTTAGAAATTAACTTAATGTATTATATATTTATATATATACGCATAATTTATTTTGAGAGGGGATATCTAATTCACTATTTGCAAAATACAAGTGAAGAGGCTATGCATACATACATACATTATATATTTGGGATAAATTAGCTAAATAATAATAAACGGAAATATATCATTATAATTCTTTTGAAAATATCAAAATAAATATTCAAATATATTTACTAAAATGATATAAACTATAAAATAACTGGAAAGAATAAAAAAAAAATGTGTGGTTTTAAATTTGTAAATATTTATGTATTATGTGGAAATTTATACAACAAGTAAGTAATATAATGTACATAGCATAATTATGTTTATTGATAATGCATAAATATTGGGAAGTGTAGTATGGTTTGCGAAAGACAAATTTTGGTACAATTGCGGGTGAAAACTTTTATTATTTGTTATACTGAGTTATTGCACTTAAAAAAGTACAATATTTCAATGTTAATTGATGGTTAATTTGTTCAGCAAAATGTTAGATTTTAACGTACAGGAAACTTTTTGTGAAAAGTTAGAAGTATATTCAATTGAAAAGAGGTTTAAGTCTGGTACAATTTCGAAACAACCATTATGTTTTTGTAAAAAGAAAGAATAAGCTATACCTAACCATTAAAGAATTTTGCCCGTTCCCTTCTTATTACTGAATTTACAAAATTACAAATGAAGATGACCATATTATTAATTTAGCACATCAAGTTCAACTTAATGAAGGGTTTCCATTATAAGTTAGAGGCAATGTTCAAACATTTTTAAAAAGCAATTTCCTATAGAGATTAAAAGGCAACTATGTACTATGTTACATCTTGTATTCTTTTAAACGTTTGGCTACTAAAGAAAACCAAGCGCGCTCTTATTTGTTCTTATCAAGAACATTCTCTTATTTTTTGAAAAGGGAAATTCATATGTAGACTGAAAAGAGGGAGTGTCGTATTACATATTGCAAGTAAAATTAAAGAAAAAAATTAAATATGAAACTAAAAGTGAAATCGATTCATTTATATACATATGTATGCAGATTTGACAAATCTTCGATTTGGCGCTTATTCTTCTCATTTTGCAATTTTTGAGATAGTATATGTGTACTATAGGTTGTTCGTTAAGCTCTTTTTAAATCTAAAATGTCTATTTGTTTTCTGCTAATTTGTAACAAAAGCCAAATTTTGGAATATGAAACATTTTTTTTGTATTTTAAAGAAAATGTCTGTTCTACGTATGTATGTTGCCACTCAAGTAATTCATCAGTTTAAGTTTACTGTTATAATTTCAAAAAATGAAGTTTATTGCTATAATTTCGAGAAATCTAAACTTATTGACTTTGTTAATTGTTATTATAAAATTTATTTTTTTTTGTTATTGTCATAATTCATATAATCCCCCGGTGGGGTAAGGAGTAGAAATATTCCCAGCAGGCATGCTTATGGTGCAGAATGAATCTCTTCCTGGTCTGCATCTGATCACTGAGGGACGAATGTAGAAAAAACCTGGCCCGGGCTAATAGTCATATTCCTTATAACTATGAAATGCAAAATATAAAAAATATAATGCGGCACGAATGTTGAAGACGTTCAGAGAAACTGCCAGCCCAAGTAACAATTTTCAAGAGTAATACCCTAAAACATTGACCAAAACTCTCATACCACACTCTAATACCCTCATAGTTTTTTTTTTTTGTTTTTATGCAACTCTCGTAAGGTTCTTATAATAAAGATTTAGCACCTGTAGTGTTGAAAATTCTGCTACTGTAGTGTTAAAAATTCTGCTATAGCAAAACTACTTTCAGCAAGCCATAAAAAATTTTAATTCTCATAAAGTATTTTTTATAAGATGTAAACTCTTATAGAATCTTGTTCTTAAAAGAATTCCTTTATAAGTCTAGTCGTTAGGCACGGCCTTTTTAGTATAGTCATTTTTCCTTATCTAAATTTATATATGAAACCTAATAATGAGAACCCTAAAAACCCTAATGAGACTGAGTTCTTTTTTTTGGAAAGAAGTTCGAAAAATATTTATTGTAAAGAAATTATTAAATTAAAGTTAATGAAATGCAAATTTATAGTTTTATTTGAATATAATAAAACTTTAGTTGGAGCTTATGCACATTAGTACGTTTATTTTTGCTTACCAATTCCTAAATTTTAAAGTTTATGTAAAAGGAAAAGAAAGAAGATATTATAGGGTTAAAAAATATGCATAAAAATTTTTTAAATTTTAATTATTTTTAGTTGGCATTGCTTTTTTTTTCAAAGTACAATATCAACTTTTATCAATAAAATTTTAATGCCAGCTACTTTTTGATTTATAATCATGGCAAAAATATTATTTTAATTTCCCATATTTATAATTTTATAATATGAAATTTTTGAAAACAAATACTTATTAATAACATATCATATACGCAAACATATGTATATTTTGTTTCATTTTGGTTAAAAAAATAATTGTTAAAAGCGGAATAGATATAGTTTTTATGAAGTTCAAAGTAAGACCGATAAATTTGTTCTACAATGTATTGTTTTCTCTTTCTAGTAACACTATTATAAATGGCTTGTAAGAGCTTTCGTAACTCTCATACCAGTTGTGGTATGAGAGGTATATGATTATTATTTATCATGTTGACCCCAAAGTTTATTTTGGCTTCATTGAGCAGCTTCTTAATACACGTTGCGTAATATAACAGGAGGGGGTTTGATCTTTCTTGTAGTGCATTTATCTGCACAGATTTTTCAATTTTGCTCACTCTGTCCTCAGGAGTTATTTCAGGTGACATACCGGCTCTTCGCTTTTTGCCTTTTCTCTTTAGAATCCAATCGGTTTCTCGGCTTTTAACCTTTGTAACTCCACTTTTAACTTAACTGTAACTTTTTCCGTATTTCTTTTATTGAATTTATGTTACATTGCTTGATTCCAATTTTAGCTTATTCTTCTCTGAGATGCTGGATTTCATTTTTTAATTCTTTACAAAGCACTTTAAGCTCACTTATTCTTACATTTAAGTGGCAGTTATTAGTTTTCTGATCTTGTATTTTATTAACTGCACCCATATTAGCATTTTTCTGTTTGTCATTTTGTACATATTTTCTTTGCTTTTACCACATGGCGGTGTCCACATAACCTGAGGTGTTCCTTTAAAAGGGTCAGTAGTAGGTGTTTCATGCAATAAGTGGTCTCCCCAAAATCCGTAAGAGCAGCCTCCGAAAAGTGTGGATTTTCCAGATTTACTGGGCTATAACCTGGGGAATATATTCCTTTTGTTTTGTTCATTGCATTAATTTTATTTTATTTCGGAGTTCACTTCTTTTAACCTTTGGGAATAAATCCCTCATACAAGGCAGCACGACCAATTTCTGCCGTCCCTCAGGGATCAATCGCAGACCAGACAGCCGTCCATTTTGGATCAGACGCTTCTGGGCTTGTACTGGATTTTAGTGGACTCATACCACAAGTATTTCCACTACGGGTATTTCGCACTCCCACCCACCGCGGAATTTCTACTAATATAAAGTATAATTTATTTCTTGGCTTGTGTTTCTAACAATATAAAGTATAAAAGGAAAACGTGCTTTCGTTATACAAAAATTTTTTCAGAAAATTTTAAATTAAGACTGTTCCGGGATAAAAAGGTCCAATGTCAGATTTTTTTGGGACCCTGTGACCTGTGAAGCACCTATATATATATAATGCAAGATAGGATGGTTTTTGAAGAGTTATACGAAATATAAGTAAAATATAGAATTATAAAGGGAAATTCGAGGTACTGCGTAGCCTGGTGAGTAGTCTGATAACCAGAAGGTTATTAGATCGATGCTTGATTGGCGTATTCTTCTTTTTTAGGGTTATTTTAATTTTTTTTTATTGTTTTATTTTTTTAAATATATAACAGATAAATATTATTGTAAAAGTTTAAAAAAAATTTCCAAAAAAAATTTGCTATAATAGTTTGGAAAAATTAGCAAAAATTTTAAGTACATAAGCATAGCTATATTTCTCTTAAAACTTCCTAACAAATTTTTTTTTAACCTTCCTATATAAATTGAATAATATTCAAAACTTTGATTGGCATATAAAAATAAATTTTAAACACATAATTATTAACAAAAGAAAATGTTTAATCAAAAACAAAATAATAATTTTATTTAAATACATGTATGTATATAAAAATGTATTAGAATTTAGCATTTTAGAGTTTTTCGCTCGAACAATTAAAAATGAAATTTCATGTATATACGTTTTTAAATAATTTTGTTGTTTCTGTTTTTCCAAAGGCTTTGTCAAATCTGCAATCATAATCGACGATGAAACGTAAGAAAACTCAACTGTACTATCTTCTTGTTTCTCCCTTTTATTACGATATTTGATATCGATATGTTTTGATCTCCCGTGGTTAAAACTATCTTTACTCAGTTTTATAGTACTTTGATTATCGCAGCAAATTATAGTTTGAGTGTTACAATATTCTTTAAATGACATTTCTCCAAATAGTTTTCCTAAATATACAAATCTTCGCACATACCAATATATTTCACTTCCATTGTTGAAAGAGCCACACACTTTGAGCTTTTCCAGGATTTTTGCAAAAACTAGAAAAAATACTTGCTGCGTACGCTATATCGGGGTGAGTTGTATTGGCCAAGCGTATTAATGCACCCACAAGCTCTCTATATGGTATTTGCTTCATGTATTGAGTTTCCTCTTCTGAAGACGGACATTGGTCACATGTTAACTTTATACTCTTGTCCATTGGCATCTAACAATCCAAATTTTTCTATTAATTTTTCCACATATTTCTTTTTTGATATTTCTATGTTGCCAGCATCCGATTCACGATGTTCTGATGTACTTAAAATTTGGTTAATTTTTTCAAGATCTTTC